TACTGTTCATCGTGAATCGCCAAAACGGCTCTGTAAAACGCGCCGTCCTGAGTGTCCTTTGGTATCAAGGAGACGTACTTCTCCATACTTTCCCACTGGTTTAAACCCCAAGCTGCAGCCGCTGCCATTCTAGCCATCCTCTGCTTGGTCTCGTCGCTCTGATGCGACCATTGCTTCGTAGCAACGTCGTGCAACTGTCCCCATTCCCCGAGAGCCTCTAAGCAACGCATCTCGCCAAGAGTCGACTCCACGTCTGTACAATCGCTCTCCAACCTTTCTCTGTACAACTGCAAAGCTTTGTCCCAATTGTGCAGCTTCTCGTACCAACGAACCTGTACCTTCAGATCTTGTTGATTGTTCTGGTTCATAACGTACTCGAGCAGACCTTCTGCAGCTTCTTTCTGTTGAAGCTTGTTGTTGATAGAGATCAAAGATTCAAAAACGTTGCTGTTCCTGCTTTTGTGGAACTCGTCCTCCTTGTAGTGGAGTGCCTTCGCGTAAGCTCGGCAGTGCATCGCCCTCTCGCCCAGAATTTTGTTGTCCAAAGGCAACGGCCCCTTGTCGCAGTGCTCCATGAACTCCGCCAAGTTCAAGATTGTCTGCGTTATCTCAGGAAGGTCGGGCACCATCAATGCCTGTTGCAACGTTTGGATGAGCTCCGCCTTGTACGTGTCGTCCAGCTCGGTCCAGCAGGAAACGAAAGCGGCGTTGAACAGGTCCCTGGGTAATTGAGAGTAGGTCTGAGCGAGTGCCCAACACGATCTCAACGCCGGCGACGGCGACTCTTTGAGCAGACCAATCGACAAACTTCTGAGCCATTCCAGCCAATCGTCCTTCGAGACCCTTCTCGTTGCGGTCCAGGCTTTCTGAAGATTCGACGCGGACACGTGCAACCGTTTGATCGTGGTGGTGTCGGACGACGTCAACGACAAGTCGCGGTTCTTGTTCCTCGCGTGTCGGTGCCTCATTAAGAGATAATCTTCGCCGTCGGCGACGGTGGTCTCTGTCAAAATTTTGTCAATTAGAACATCGTAACGGGAGTTAACGACCTTATGCTTTGTCATCACTTTCTGTACTAGTAAGATGAAGATCTGATACTTTTTCCCCAGTTGTATCACTAACGCGCACAGCGTGTCCATCGCCGTGTTACGCAGCTCCGGGCACTGGTCCAGTGTCCGTACCAACGGGTGCACGATTCTGGACGCAAAGTCGGTGAAATCTAGCGTGTCCGCCAGGTGGTCGACAGTCTCTAGCGCCACTTTGTTCACGGTTATCGGGCAATCGGTGGCGTGAAACAATTTCACGATTGGCGGCAGGACTAGGTGGAGGTAATTGTCCAGATTGTTGCCAAACTTCTGCAACGCCTGGAGGAGCTTCACCGTGACCCACCTGTCCTTGCTCGTGTCGTGCGTGAGAACCCTGAGTATCTGGGGCATCAGCTGCGGCAGGTAAATTTTAAACTCAGCGCCCAGTGCAACGGCGATGTGCTCGACCAGGAGTATCAGCGTGCTCTGCAACGGGCTGTTCACGGTCCAGAATTCCTTGATCAGGTTGAATATGTCGTCCAGATAATTTCTAATGTGCTGCTTCACGATGGCGATGAGGACGGCCAATTGTTGGAACAGGAACTCCCGGAAGTTAACGTCCGCCGTGCGGACCACGTTGAGGAAACTGGGCATCACCTGTGAGATATACGGGACGCATTTAATCCCTAAGCTTTTGAATATAAATGTCACGGCTTGAACGACCATCGTGTGGTGCTGGGACAACGTCGGGTCGCGAATGATCCTCATGAGCGTCGCTATAGCGATTGCTGGATAATATTCCTCCAACGTCGACGAGGACATGTTCACCAGCATCTCGCTGGTAGTCAAATCCTGCGTATTCTCGGTTTCACCTTTCGTATCAGCCATGGAGGTGAGGGTGTCCAACTGAGAGTCGATCTGGCCAAGGTTCATCTTGTGTTTGTAGGGATCCAGGGCACCTAGCAATCCCAGGACCCTTATAGTTTCTCTCCTGATGATCAGCTGTTGCTCCGTTTTCAAGAAATTGATCAACACGTCGAGCAACGAAGGGTACTGCATGTACGGCTTGACAACGTGCCCTGTGCTTCCCACCAGTTGGCCAAGCACCCACAGAGCCACTCCTCGTTTCTCCGGGGAACTCGCGTCGACCAGCATCTCCAGCAGTATGGAGAGAAGCTCGGGCATCCATTGTTGCATCTCGGCGCCGTTAACTTCCGCCAGGTCGCCGATGGCGCGCAGTATCGCCAGGATCACGCCAGGATTCGATTCTGGTTCCTTCAATTTCGGCACGAGCACCTTCAAAATCGGCTCCATATACGGGCGAATAAGCCTTGGCGCGCTGACGACCAAATGGTCCAGCATTCGCGCGGCTTGTTCCTTGTTGCGGCCCATACCCGAGTGTTCCAACTCTGTCAGGAATTGTATGAGCGTCTTGCGAAGCGAGGGCATAACGTACGCCGGGTTCATCGTGCTCAGTCGTCCAATTGTGCGGATCGCCAGCTCCCTGATCTCGAACATCTCGTCGTTCATAGCGATGAACAGTGCAGAGAGGTTCTCTGCTTGTGCCAGATGAATGTCGAACGAATCGTCCAGCGAAGCTAGCACCCACAGTCTCACATCAGGGTCTGTGTCCGTTATGCCAACGACCAGCAACTTCCCAAGGACGGTGGAGACGGTGTTGGTCACCGTGGGTCCAGGTTGATTCAACGCCAACCGTAACAGCCGTGAACACGTTCTCACAGCCTCTAGTCGTACCTCCGCTTGCTCAGACGTGAGGAAATGATCGGCGCACCGTCTCACGAACTGCAAGAGCGGATTGCCGTCGAAGTTGAACGTCCCTAGAGTCTTCAGCGCTAAAACTGTGGATGGGATATCCACCTCGGTGGGAGGGCCTGAGATGGGGCTGCTGGCGGTCCACGGTGCGCCCGGGTGTCTCAGAGGTTTCTGCATCAGCACCTGGGAGAGCATCCGCAAAAGTCCTTGAGATATGTCAGGCTTCAACGATGGTACGCTGTGTGCCAATTCCCTGAGAGACGTCGTGAGAATGGGGCTCAGTCCAGTCTGCAACATAGACTCTAGCAGATCCCTCACATCTGCCGCTATTACCTGTTTCACCGCGTGCCCTAGCAAAGTTATGCAAACGAACACCGCAGGCTCCAACGAAGCGCCGCGCTTTTTGGTGGAGGTTTCCTTGGATGGTAGTAAACTTTTGATCACCTCCATGATCTTGGAAAGATAAGGATTTATCGAATCTTCTACTGCGACTGCTATGAGACCGATAGTGGTGAACGCGGCGTATCGATCCTTCTCCCTGCTGCGCAACGTCATCAGAAGATAAGCCAACGACTCCCTCAGATGATCCTTCGTGAACTTCTCTTTGTTGAACGCCGCGAGCCTGGGCAACAACATCATGAGTGCGTGTTGGATATGTGGGTTCCTGGACATTCTCTGGTTCATCACGTCGTTGTATATGTCGTCCAATCTTTCTTGCATCAAGCAACGACACACGGCGGATTCGTGCGCCGGGTACAACGTCTGTTGAGAATTGGTAGAGTTTTGCGAGGAGCTGGACCATTTAGATACTATCGTCGTCTTTAATCGCGGCATCAGCGACAGTATGTCGTTCTCGTTCTGCTGGCTGGAACAATTCAATCGTTCCATCAAAGTCTCGTAATTCCTCTCCCATTGAATGTTGCTGCACCTCAGCAACTCGTTCAGTACCAACAGCGAACCGTGTATCTTATCGTCCCTGTTCACCCCTCTTTCCCTAGTGTACACTTCCTCAAATCCCGCCACTATCTCGTCGTAGCATTGCTTGTACCACTGCGACTTGTGCATCTGCTTCGCCGTTTCTCTCTGAGCAGTGACGATCAAAGCAGCCCTCAACGCCTCGACGGCCCCTTCTCTTATCACAGGTTTCGAGTCACGTATGGCATTGAATATGAGCTCAAAAAACGGTGTCACTTGCTGAAAGAAATACGTTGGCATGGAAACAGCTAGCTCTCTGAGAACAAGGACAGCCGCGTGTCTCTTGCCTTCGTGTCTGTCACCTCCTAGCCACTCGAAGGCACGCTTCACCTCAAACTCCACGTACTCCGCCGTGTAAGTGCCAGAAACCAATGCCAGTTTGCCCACCGTTTTGGCAGCCAACTCCATAACACCCACGTCGTTGGAAGGCAACAAGTTTCTCAGATAGTTGGCGAATCTGATAGTTCTTGTGTTAATGTTGCCAACGTCGGCTCCGATGAGGCAAACTATGGCCAGAATTCCACCCTTCTTCTCGTTCACGTCCGACCCGGACACCATCTCGAATATATGGTGATTGAACTCGTCCATGAAGGCTGTGATCTCCTCCTGCGACGCCTCGCGCAGCTCCGTTTTAACGTAGAGGCACAGGTCCCTCGCTGCCTTGTTACGTGCCTCTTCATTTCTGGACTTGAGCCTCTGGACGAACTGCTGCACCAGCGTGCTCGACATTGTTTTGAACTTACCGATATCGATTTTACAACGATGCTCTCGTGTATATCCTCGCGACGATATCTAAAAAAAAGATAAGCAAGATACGGCTTTCGACCTTTCACGAGAGGGAAAGAGGAAGAGAGAGGTTAGGGTTACACCGTAAAGTGGCCTTATCTCTTACATACCTATTTGACATCACACGAATTTTGCGTCACGGTACACCGTTCTCATGGCTGTCCACGACTCCTTGATATTCCTCGACGAGTGCAGTTTCAATTTCCCTTCAATCGCATTATTAGCGTACGTCTGTCACATATATCCTTCATGTTTTGATGCGCACCGATTTACGAGCGAGACGAGAAACCGCAGGCGAGAAAATCGTGTACCGTGTACACGCGGATTACGCGAATTTCGCTGCCATCGATTGCTCAGAGAACGTACAGCGAACACAAAGAGAAATAACAAGAGACAGTGTACTCCTCGAAAGAACTATCTAAAGTTTATAACCTCAACATTGGTTAACACGGGATGCTCGGGTAAATTCGTTTCCCCCTCTCCTTTTATCTTCTCCCTCCCTAATTTATTGCGTATGTATTTAAGTTCTAGTGTTGTAATCTTGAAATTGAAAACAACGCTCGGAAAAACGAACAGGCTGATTTTTTTAAACCGCTAATTAATATTTTGCTATTTGCAAACGAATATTAATAAATTGTGTTAATATTATAAATTATATCATATTACATTGTATTAATAATGTTATTAATTTATTAGTATTATATTGTATTCTGTTAATGTGAATATTCATTAATTTTGATATTTATCCATAAAAGCATAAAAACACTTGATAAATATTTTTATAAGGTAAAAAAATTAAATTAACAACGCTGAATTTACGTCAATTTCGACTTCATTTTCTTCATTTTATTTCTTTTTTTATATTTGTCGCACGACCAATACAAATAGCGTTGGTGCTGTTTATTTCAAAATCTTTCACTTTAATATTCACTTAAATATTCACTTAAATATTCGAATCTTATGAAATCAAACTTCGAAGTTCTATTTTTGTAATATAATATTATGTTTTTCACATATAAACTGTGAATTATACTCATACATGAGTATCGTAAAAAATAAATAAATATCTGTGCTGAATCACGATGTAAATGTACATCGTACATATGTAGTTCATTGCCCATCAAGTCGCGTAACTAGAAGATTAAAGTTACGTATGCGACGTAGTTTTATAAATATGTATTAGAAAATAACTGGAGTAGCTACAGTTTTTGATACTGCGATACATTCGTTTTGAATGTGTCACGACCTTTTTAACATTATCAACGATGAGTTACTAGTTTTAATGACTTTCAGTTTTGTGAATTTGCTTAGTTCATAAATCGTTTGATTGAGGGAAAAGATGGTACCGCTTTGGAGGTTATGTGCGAGAGGCATCAGCTCGCAAAGAATCGGATTCCGGAGGTCAACGGTCGCGTATGGAGAGTTGTTCTACGCGTGTTTAACGCCGGCAATCAAGTTTAACAGAAAAGCTCCTGTATTTTCGATTTTAAGATCCCGAGCGACGAATGCCGTAAATACTAAAAGCTTGGAGCCTACGACACGATCCATCAGATCGAAGAGGAGAAAAACGTCGGAATTAAAGAATTTGATTGTCCTGGCGGTACCTGAGAAACGGAGGTTGTTCGGCGCGATTGTCTTCTTGTTAATTTCGTCTACCATAACGATGGCAGTACCGTTTTCTTTAGGGAAACTAATCGACACTATCTACGCGAGCGACAAAGAAAACATGAAAGACAATCTCAATCGATTGTGCATTATATTGCTCGGGATATTTGTCACCGGGGCTCTGTGCAATTTCTGCAGGATATATTTGATGTCTACTGCCGGGCACAGGATTACACAGTCTCTGCGAAAACAGTTATACGCTGCTATTCTTCGGCAGGAAATAGCAGTTTTCGACAAATGCAACACAGGGGAATTTGTTGGCCGATTATCTGGTATAAATCTAAACTTCAACAAATTCTTTTGTACATGTATCTCTATCATCTTTCATACGGTTCATTCATTTCAGGTGACACACAACTTGTTAGCCAAGCATTGACAAGCAATATATCAGATGGATTACGTTCCACTTTCATGAGTATTTGTGGAATATCTATGATGCTCTATGCTTCGCCTAAGCTGGCTATAGTTAGTCTAACTATTGTCCCACCAATGGCAGGTTTAGCCATAGTGTGGGGCCGCTATTTAAAGAAGATCTCCAAAGACATGCAAAACAATTTAGCGGAACTGAATACAATCGCCGAAGAGAGAATTAGCAACATAAGAACAGTGAAAGCTTTCTCAAAAGAAACAAAAGAATCCGACCATTACAATTTCCAACTGGACAATGTGCTCAAAATTTGTTACAAAGAAAGTTTATACAGAGGAGTATTCTTTGGACTAACTGGTTTCTCTGGAAACGTGATCATCCTGTCTGTTTTGTACTATGGCGGAGCTATGGTTTCTGATTTCTCCCTTACAATCGGAAGTTTAAGCGCATTCTTAATGTACGCCGCGTACGTTGCAATTTCTTTAAATGGCTTGTCTTCGTTTTATAGCGATTTGAACAAAGCATTGGGTGCAAATATGCGTTTAGTCGAATTGATCGAAAGAGAGCCGGCAATACCAGTTCAAGGTGGTAAAATTCTGGAAAAGCAGTTGTCAGGTGATATTGAATTTCAAAATGTCAGTTTCGCTTATCCTACAAGAGGGAATACATGGGTTTTGAAAAATTTCAGTTTAAAAATCCCACCATGTACGGTAATTGCTATCGTTGGAGCATCAGGTTCTGGAAAGTCCACAATAGCTTCACTCTTGTTGAGACTTTATGATCCCAATTTAGGATCTGTACTTTTAGACAATAATGATCTTCAGTCTCTGGACCCAGTATGGGTGAGATCACAAATTGGTATTGTTTCTCAGGAACCTACACTCTTTAGTGGTACAATAAGAGAAAATATATTATATGGAGCAATGGATTCTGTGAAATACGATGTAGAAAAAGTTGCAAGACATGCGCATGTTTTAGAATTTACAAAAAACATGCCAGATGGTTTAGACACAGTAGTTGGAGAACGGGGTATTACCCTCAGTGGTGGACAAAGACAAAGAGTTGCTATTGCTAGGGCTTTGATAAAGGTAAATGCATTAATTATTAAAATAAAATCCATCTAATAGAATTTACTAATTTAAAACTGTTTATGTTTAGGAGCCTAAAATCTTAATCCTGGACGAAGCCACGAGTGCATTAGATGCGGAGAGTGAACATTATGTACAAAAAGCTTTGGAAAAGGCTGTTCAAGGGCGGACAGTTCTAACCATAGCTCACAGATTAAGCACAATAAAAAATGCAGATAAAGTCATTGTTTTAAAAGAGGGACAAGTAACAGAAACTGGAACTTACAAAGAACTTGTGAACTTAAAAGATAGTTACTTTCATAAATTAGTTCAACATCAAACCTTTGCTTAAATTTTAGAATTTAGACCACCAATCGTATTGACGATTGATTAATTATTGAATTAATGGTTGATGTATTTAAAAAATTGTATATATAAATTGTTCAATGAACCAGAAAGGTTTAAAAAAAACACAAATTAAAAAATATCTGATAATATATAAAAATAATGTACAGAGGTCAGTGAAAATATCATTTGTAATAAATAATTAATAAATTTATTGATTTAATTTCTGATATACAATGTTTTATTCTGTAATTATGGTTTTCAAGTATTCATCTATATCATGTGCTATTTTCATATGAAATCTTGGAAGTGTTATAATTAATGAAATAAATAATTTTTGCAAAAACTGGTTTCACCAAAGACAAATTTAAAATTTTAGAAGTGAAATCTGATACATATGTTATGTTCAATCAATTTGTGAAATACATAAACACTTATTACAAGCTGTGATTTGATATAGAAATCACAGAATTAAATCTTTTTTAATTTAAGGAGTAAGTCAGGTATTGTAAATAATTGCAATTTGGTAATAATTTTTAATATATTTTCTATAAAATAATATACACTGCTATTTTAAGTTATATGAATGTCTTATATCATTGACCTAAGTTGTCTTTAAATTAATGTACTGTTATAATTATTTTTAAGATGAACTATCTCTAGGTTTGTGTCTGCATAAAAATATTCAATAAAAACATATGACCAGAAGCAAATATAATTAAACTAGGCTGATCTTTAAATTACTCAAGCCTATTTAATAGAATCTCCCTTTCAGGGGAAAAGAGAGTTGCCATGTTTCTACTTTTTTGCTATTATATTCTATTGGAAAATAAAGCAAGACATAAAAAGAGCAAGACTATTCCTTCTTCTAACTAGAAAAAACAAACTTTATATCCTTCTTTATCTCAGAGATGTGTATGATAAAATCATTGTTTTTTTATCAATTATAACCTGAACCATTGTATGGAATTAATGATTAATACAATTCATAAATTTCAGTCATCATAAGTATTAATTTTAAAAACGAAGTAATGTTTTATATTGTCAATTATTTCACAATTAATCAAATTTTAAGATATCTGTTTGCATAAAATCAGTAATTAATTTAATTCACAATGGTTGGATCTATGCTCCTTATTTTTTTCAGTAAAATACGTAAAGCATCAGAATGTATGTTTAAAATGCTTCTCTGTTTATATCACATGTTATATTTGTTACAAGCCATGTAAAAACTTCATATGCTTCAGTTATAAACACAGCCACGTTCTACATAGAAACTTTGTCTGCATAAATTTATTGTGAAATTTGTTTATAAACTAATTTGAGATAAAATCCAAACCATGGTCAAAACTGGTCATTAATATTACAATGTTCTGGAAATAGGCAGTGTTTTGCTTTCTACAGAAGCTTAAAAGTTCAAGGTAACAAGTCTCTGTACAATACCAAAATTTACCCGATTTAATGGTAATTACGTAGTTAATGAAACAGTAAACAACAGATGCTTAGAGAATTCCTTGTAAATCTTACAATATGTCTTATATATCAAATCACTTAGGGGGATTCATATACAAATTATGTTCGAATTACAATAAAAATTTTTCTAGTATAAAGTACTTCTTCTTTATGTTTTCTGCTATAATAAGAATCAAATATTAAAAAAAAAAAAAAAATGAAAAGAACCTTCTTCTTACATTTTATTAACTTCTAGATGATTGTACTGCTTCTTGTTCCATGGGTTCATCATCTTGCTGAAACACGGATAATGTTTCTTCTTCATCTATTTCCATTAATTCCATTGCTTCCTGTTCTTTCTTAGTCATGACATTTTCTATCATTGCGTCACTATCCTCTATCTTATTTACGGTGGAAGTTATGTTGTTACCTTGTAATTGTGCTAAATTATTATCTTCAGTAGACTTCTTTTTGCTTTCCAACTGACATGTTATCGACATGTTATTTTGGTTTTCCACATCTTCTGTTATTTCAACAATTGGCGAGATATCTTCTTTTATGTTAACAGATTCTGTGTCTCTTGGTTCTTCAACTATAGGAATTGGATCAGGTACTATGGAGTTTACCACTCTGTTCTCATCTTCTGCAGCTTCTGTTATGGTTAAGTTATTTTTCTCTTGATTACAATTAAAATTTTTTGTTGCACTGGCCTTAGAACATGGCTCTTCCACCAAAGGTTTTGAATCCACTAACTCTGTTTCTTTACTTTGATCTTTCAGATTCTCCACATCTACTGACATATCCTCGGATGTACTTATAGTTTCCTCTGTACTAACATTATCAGCAGGTAAAATTAAGTTACGTGTCGATTGTTCCGAATTGTTTGTCGCAGATATGCTTCCGACGCTGGTACTTTCTAAAGCTAGTGACTCCTTACTCGAACCAGACGTATCAATGATTGATTGAATGTTCTCTACTTCTGTACCTAACTTTATTGCGCTCTCCAAATTTTCATTATTATTTTCAACAACTGGATTAACTGGTTCTTTATTGTCCAATGCTGCTTTTAACTCAACATCTGACTTAACCAGGATATCATTACTTTTACTTGATCCATCTTGCATGTGTATCGACATTGCCTCAACCTCGGATTTCTCATTTACCTTGGAATTATCTACATAAAACTTTGCCAATTTACTCTCGTTCGAGCTAAAATCTTTAGTCTGGAAAGTAGTCTGCAATTTCTTCGAAGTGTCTGCAGAGTCGCCTCCCTCGTTTTCCAATTCCAAACTAGGTTGGGAGCTGGTGTCTTCGTTCATAATTGCTTCTGAAACGTCGCTAATAATTCCAGACGTTTCAGGAACGATGGTCGACAGGTTCTGTATCGTGGGTCCTATTTGTGGGTCCTGAGTTTGGGACTGGGAGTTCAGGCCTGAGACACCAGAGAATTCTGAGGTGGTCGGTATAAAGCTTGATACCACAATGTCCGACTTGGAGGACGTTGACTCCACCTTCTCGTGGGACAATTCCTCAGCGGTAAATACATTCTTTACCACAGTGCTGGTTGGTACAACGGTTTGTAACAACGGTGTTTCATTCTCGACGGTATGCACGCTGATTGTAACAGTAGAAGGACAGTCCTTCTCCCAATATTCCATCTCAACGTCCTGAGGAGGCTGCGTCACAGATGCGTCCTCGTCCACAGACCCATTGACCATCCCGTTGTCGCCGTTCTCGTTCCTTCTGGATATCGGTCCGGGCTCCCTAGTGGAGACAACCAAGATATTCTTCTCGATAGCTCTCATGAACTTGTCGACTCTGTTATACTCCTTGCGGGGCGCCGTCAACAGTTCGCAGATTCGTTGAACAGTAAATGGAGCGTTCGCGAAGGACTCGAGTCGCTCGAGGAGATTGCTCTTCATTGTGTCGTAGTTGAAGTGCTCGACGTTCGGGCACGGAGGTGCGAGGTCGAGCGTCGGGCAGCTTTCGTAGAACTCGGTCATCACGCGTGTCAGTTTTTCCCTGAACAACGTTTTGATCAGCGACCATTGGTAGACCGGATCGCCGGTCTTCGCCACCCAGCACAGATAATCCTCGAGCTCCCGCGGTATTTCGCTCGGCCGCATTTTCTGAAATTCGTCGAGCGCTTGCAGCACTTCTTCCAGGTTATCCATGTTTTTCACCACCTACGCTTCACCCCCGCCGCCTTCGGGTTTGCTGACCAAACGATCTCTCCCGTCGACGATTACGAACGTTCGATTGGTGAAAAAATGCGCGGTGAAAATTTTTACGCAAGGGGCAAATGAAAAAACGCAAACACACCGGGTACTAAATAGCAACAATGAAGGGCAGGAGACGAAGCAGGGCTACCAATACCACAAAAACGTGTCAACGTTGACAGCGTTTTTTGGTTAGTTTTTGTTTGTCATCGTCTCTTTTAGTTACAATTCGTTGTTTCGACAAATGCGTTCAATTCCGGGCCCGTGGTATCTACAATAATGTTTAAGATAATACATCATCGTGTACGAGTATATTTCACATGAAATTTACATAGATGGAAATACACGTATCTCCTTTATTGCTATAGATATTTCATATATATATAAACAATATCTAACAATTGAGTAAAAATAAAATGATAATAGTTGTTGTCAAACAATATAAATAAAAAATGAGACTCTCAAGTAGTTCGAGCAGTGATATACTGATAGTGTATACGGGTAACAGTACATTAATGAACTAAAATCTTACAATTTGAAATGTTTTTATAGATTATTGTATTTAGCAATAACATACGGTCAAATAAATATCATATTCATTTATGAAATAAAAATATAGGTTTTAAATTATTAGAGATCATACATACATATATATATATATTACACAAATTTATTTTAACATTATCTTAAGATTTAAAACTTTAATTGAACATTAAGATTTTTTAACATGTAAATGTGCAAGTTATCTAATTGTAGAATAAAACGATAATATATATGGTTTAATACTTTTCTTCTTTTTTTTTTTATGTTTTGTAGTACATTGTTTCTTTAATAATCATATAACAAACAAATACGATTATTTAAAAATAACTGTGCGTTTGAAAGTTTTGAAACAATGTTTGCTCCTATGTTAATCTACTTGAAGTTCTCTGCGAGAAGATTAATCTTGTTAATGTAAGAATGATTTCAAATATGTTAATAACTGATTGAAGAATATATAATATCTCTTTCAAATGCACAATTAATTAATCAATTAATAATGTAATACGATATATACAGATGTATTTTGTAAATGAACAGAAACTTTTTTACAAATTAACTACATACTTACAGAATTTAACTTAATAGATCTTACATTACGGAATAAATAAAATATTTCTATCATAATAATATAATAATATTTAATTAAGAAACTAAAGAAATAGAGTTGATGAAAGATGCAATTTTGTTTAGTAGGCAATTATTCCAAATTAGTGAAATATATTATAGGATAATAATGAAAAGACATATGTTAATCAGATTTCAATATACAGAAAAACAACTTCTTATATAATCTAGACATTTATAACTTCATTCCCAAAAGTATTCTGAAATAATTTTGTAGTTATCAAGTAATATAAATTATAAAACAAGTAACAAAGCTATTTTCTCATAAATATCTTTAACTAAAAATTCCTGTACCTACATACGTTGCTTATAAGTCTTTTTAAAATATTGAAACTCTATACAGTACAGTTTAGTAAATGTGCACGATTTTAGAAAGTTGGTGGTCAATTAAATTGTAATGTACACTGCACTATGGAAAAATATTTTTAAAGGTGACAAACTTATATATGTATACATAAGCATATTAAGAACTTTGTTAAGATTGAAGACTTAATAACAATCATAATTTCACCCTACACAGTTTTGTTACTTATAACTATCCAATCAATTTAATGTTAATAATAAATTCATTAAATCAAATTGATATTACCATAAATTTGTTCTCTAATATCTTTTCTTTCTATAAACTTCGACAATTTACACATCAACTACCATCTTCTTATGAATGTCTGTATTACCAACAACCTGAAATTGCACATAAACAAGGATTTTACATTACTAGACTCATTTCGAGACATGTGAAATGTCTTACTTACAGAACAAAATTCCTCAAAACTGATTTTCCCATCTTCATCCTTGTCAGCGAACAATACCGTCTTGTCAACGATCTGTTGAAGTTGAGTATCCTTCAAATTGTTCCCTACCATCATTTTCAATACTTGGAACAGTTCTCCATTGCTTATGAATCCATCGTTGTCCATATCATAGATCCTAAATGCAAATCTCAATTTGCTTTCCTTATCACCCTGGATAAAAGGATAAAGGTTGTTATCATTAAACGTGTTGTTTACGTCTGTTTTTTTCCTTCAATAATATATGTACCTTAACGCTGAACTGAGAGACACCATGAATAAATTCCTTGAAATCTACTTCTCCATTACCATCGGCATCGAATATATCTATGACACGCTGCACCAAAGGATTCTGTTGCAATTCTGGTAATGACATAAACTCGTCGATGCTCAAAGCACCACTGTTATCTAAATCTAACTTCCGAAACCGTTTTCCCAGTCTTCTAATTTCATCAACGTCAACTAAAAAACAAATATTTCCAAGTGAAGGACCATGTGAAGATAATGTCTTTTATTAATATAATTGCGCGCGCGCATGTGTGTGTGTATGTTTACGTGCACATGTGTGTCAACAAATATGGTAGTCGGTACATCGTAAAGTGCTATGTTTAGTCGGAGATAAAAATAAGTCGAAAGCAATATGCAAACAAAAAGAAAAAAAAATTAAAAAAAAAAGAGGTTACCTTCGATACGATCTTAGATTAAACTTTTTAAATACAAATTCGACGTAATTTCGCAATACTGTACGGACTATTAGTAAAATATATGAAATCTTTATTTTGAACAAGAATATACTTGACAGAGTGAAACAGGTTATTTCAACGTAACAGGAGTAATTCTTAATATCGACTTACAATTAGAACACAGTTCCATAGGCAGCGAGCTTTCGTTACCCTGAAAGGAAAATACATGAGAACGTACGCATTGTATTAAGAAAAAGAAAAAGGAAAATTTATTTATAGGATTTTAAAAACAACCACATATTTTCTTCGATGAAAACAAACGTGAAACCGATTGTGCACGATATTGTCCAATTCTTTACACGAATACAAGTAACGTTTAACGCGCTTAATTACCATTATGACACTCGGGCTGGTAGATTTCTAAAATTTTACTACTAGTGTCAAAATTGATCAGCAGATACTGCTTTATGCTTTATGATAGCTGGTAAAAAGTGTAAAAGATAGAGAGGAAACTTCGTCGAGATATATGGCCTATGCAAACACAAACCCGCAAACACAAATACAAAAATTCCAGATAATCTATGAAAATTGTATTATTTTGTTTGAAATATCATTGAAATTTTTTAATAAATGAGTCTATACACTGCAATTAATTTGAGAAATATCGTTTGTGATTTTTAGTGATCTTACTAGTAGATGTCGCTTTGGTCAACAAAGTTCCATTGAAAAGTTTAAATCAAAAATGTCAGTTGGAAGTTGAAAGGAGGCTGTTGGATTGTTGATAAAATTTTTCTAAATATTGGAGCAGTTGATCTTTTTGTTAAAAAGTGTTATTTCACTGAGAAATTTACTTCAAATATTGTGAGTTGTATAAATAACTCTTGTTTTATCTCACAGGTAATACAGAATTGTTTTAACATATAAATTTATATAACATGAAATAACTGCATAACAATTTTTAGTTTTAGCAAAACTTGCTAAAAGAATGCTCTTAAATTTTCTAGATCGTCCATGACTTGTGATATTATGGCTCATGCAGAAGTATTCCAGTGTCCGTCAAATATCTCATCCGATTACAAAGAAATTGTCTTCGATACCTTGTGTAAAATGAAAGACCATGTTGAAGCCAGAGGACCAAGGTATGGTCAACAAATCTTATTTCAATCAAGGTATTATATATTGCATTCGCGTTATTGTGGAAATAAAAATATTTTCTTATCAGCTATCAGTGGAATTTGGATGATTTTGAAATTGGTGCACCTTTAGGCAGAGGCAAGTTTGGGCGGGTTTACCTAGCCAGAGAAAAAACTACGCATTATATGGTCGCGTTAAAAACTTTGTACAAAGTAGAATTAATGAAAGGACGCGTGGAAAAGCAAGTGATGCGTGAAATTGAAATTCAAACGCATTTAAGGTAAACTTACTACCGCGAACTTTTTTTTTTCTTTAATTTTACTTTAATTAGAGATATACTGTTACATGAAATTTTTCAGGCATCCACATATTCTACAAATGTTAACGTACTTTCACGATCATAAGCGTATTTATCTTGTATTAGAGTTCGCAGCTCGAGGGGAATTGTATAAGGAATTAAAAAGGCAACCAAATGAAAGATTCAATGAACATTTGTATGTACTTTTGGAACTAGCTTAAAGTTTAGCAAGAAATAACTCGTATTTTTATTTTCTATTACTATTCTTTTTTCCAGATCTGCTAAATACACTTATCAAGTAGCAGATGCTTTGGAATATTGTCACAGGAATAACGTCATTCATAGAGATATAAAACCGGAAAATTTATTACTTACATACGAAGGCAATGTAAAATTGGCGGACTTTGGATGGTCTGTTCATGCACCATCATCTAAGTAAGTATATTTATAATTAAGCAATTATGAGCAATAATTATAGTGGAAACTGATCTAAAGTAAAGTTTATTAATAATAATAATTGCAGGAGGAATACATTATGTGGAACATTAGATTACTTACCTCCAGAGATGGTAACAGGGCAAACGTATGATATATATGTCGACCATTGGTGTTTAGGCATTCTCTGTTACGAATTTCTTGTGGGTAGACCACCTTTCCTTAGCGATTCGCAGCAAGAAACTTACGTAAAAATAAAGACGATAAATATACAATGGCCGGAGCAAATTACGCCGGGAGCTAAAGATTTAATATCGAGGGTAATTATTCTTCTCGCACATTGTAACTTTTTATTTGGACAAATCATAATTTTTCCTTTAATTACAGCTAATTAAACGAAGAAGCTCGGAAAGAATTTCTATGGCTGCTGTAAAGAAACATTTTTGGATAATAAAATACAAAGATTTACATTGATATAAAAAATATAAAAGATTATTTGAAATATTTTTATTATAAGACAATTATTATTACGGTAATATATATAATTTTTACAAATAGGAACATAAAAATATTTCAGATACTAAAGCAATTTTTATGGCCAATTTAAATTGATCCCCGTCACGTCCAATGCGACTATATCGATCTCGACGTTAAGAATATCGCACAAACTTGGTTTAGTTCGACCAAAATCTCCGTGCACAAATTCCTTTACGTATGTCCCAGCTTGCGTTTTAATATCTAGAACGAAAAATGTGCTAGTATCGTCGGTAATATCCAGCTTCTTTAATTCTTGAAGTTCGACCCAGCGAGCTCTCATTTCATATATTAACCGTTCTCTAGGACTTAAAGGCCGCCGATGCAACACTCTCACTGGCGTTTTTTGGACTATCCTCAGGCGTTTTAAATTATTTAATTTTTCAAGAGATAACATATCTCTAGATGCATTACGACAAACGCAAAGTGCTCGATAAAGTTTCGTTTTAACGTTCTCACCTTCTTTCAACCTTTTCAGATCATGCCTAGATAAAACTTTTAAGCTCGATGTAATTTGTACTTGCCGTGAGGATTCATTAATTTTATTAACTAAATCTGACAACAGTTCCTCTGTTATTTTGGTCATTCGGGGATTAATTAATTCGACCGCGAATGGTCTTCCATTATAAATATTTCTGACGTCCACGTCTTCTCTTCCAGATGACAAAAATTTAATAGCTAAAAACGAAAAAATATTGACAATTCCGACAAAAATTAATTGTTGCTATTAAAAGTTCTTACTTACACTGAGTTTTTGTTACTTCAATAATAGGAGTACATAATATGTCTTGAACAGACGTCTGCATCTTTTTCTCACCGTTTATAAACCATGGAGTTTGGCTGAGTTCCCTAGATAATTTATTATACCGCCCTGAAGTCACAACAAGTTTAACAAATTACATGACAGTTATTCAAACAGACAATTATTTCAAACAGAGAATATTACCTCCTATAAAAATACTCGAATGTGAGCAAATAATATTTTCCACATCGATAGTGTCAAATTTTTCGAATGACACATATTTGAAGTACTCGAAAAATTCATTGTCTGTTAATTTGGTCATCAGAGCCTCCATACTTTTTCTACTGAATCTATTATCATAACATTTTTTCTTTCGTTTACTTTCTGTGTTGTTTGTGTCTTTGCACGCCAATCTAAAAAAAGAAAAGAATGTTCCATTGTGGACTGAAATAAAGTAGCTTTGCAAATAAATTAATTCCAGAAACTTACAACACTTCACACTCTTTCTTGTTAAATTTATACGTTAAAATAATTTCAATTAAAAATGGAGAAGGTGTTATCGAATCTACATGCTTTTTAATAGTCTGTTCTATTTTAGGGGTTACCATCCACTTCCAAACATCTTTAACGTTTTGCAATCTGAGTTTAAGATCTAATAGTGCATCTTCTGAAAGATCAAGTTGGGTAGCGCAATGTACACATAAGAAACGTTCTCTGAGATTGACGCATACTGGTATTGTCAATGCACATACAAACGTTCCACTATCGTAATTTTCTTTTTCCACCTCGACACAAATCTATTTGTAAAAATTATTTGAAACTTATATAAAACATCTGTGTACATTTCAAGCTAGATGCGTTTTCGCACAAGCCAACATACTTCTTTAACGATTTGTTCTTGTATGTCATTCTGGAGAATCCCCAAACAAGCCATGCAAGGTATCTTCTTGCTGAAAGGAACATCATCTGTTTCAATATATCCAGCCTGTAAAAAAAATTTATTTTATTACATCAAACATTCAAAAATTGTATCTAAAACTTACGTTCTTTGCAAACTTAATAGGGTCCTCGTAACAATTCGGTGTACGGCATCCAATGAAACGGAAACAACATCTTAAGCAACAATTCTGCCGTTGCAAGAAATTGAAAATACATTTCTCATATTTTGTACAAATGTTCATTTTCACAAAATTCTGCGACCTGCTATTTCAACGTATTTTCGGTTACTGTTTACGTTAGCCTGCTGAACATATGATTGCATACATATTTAGAAATTTACAATAGTCGAGAGTTAAAAATTTATTTACATACAAATTAAATGTGAATTATTCTCTCTTATCGGCACTGGAAAAAACCGAAGTATTTACAACTACGAAATTATTAAACGCAAGAATGATCCGATGCCCGGCACAGATTGAACGCATTGACATCACTGAAAAGTATGGGTGTTTACTGTGTCGTCTGTTAACTAGTGTAAATAGTTGTAAATTTTTAGATTTTATTCCGTTGCAATCTGGTACCTGATTAATTTATAGATATCGTAACGTAATTTATAGATATCGTAACAGTAGCACCTAACATAATGCCTATTCTAAGGAAAAAATCTAGCAAAAAAGTAAACGCAGAGAATGGCAGTGACAATTTGATTGGAGGTTAATCATCGTTTTACTATTATATTTCGAGAGACAATTCGACACGATTTGATCCGTTGTTCGAAAGGCGTACATCGCTGTATTTGTCTCTTTTTTTATCGCAGATGTAACCATCGACGACTTTGCAAATTCATCACGGACGCACGGGAGATTTAAAAAGGCAATGATAAATGTCTCCTCTGAAGGTTACCTTTGGCAATACATTTCAATCAATCTTGTGTCTATGCCATTTCTATCTCTATTGCAAGCAGTTTCCTCTATTTCTTTGAATAGGCATAGACATTTAATGCCTGTGTTTACATTGATTCTGTGTTTACAGTCAAAGAGGCAACAACAAAGAAAGAAAGTTCTTGGGACGAAATGAATGAGAGTTTTCAAGAAAGTGAGGGGGATTCTAACAAATCAAAGAAACATACTAAGGGTAGATGTTTCATATTTGAAAATTCCTGAACATTCGAACATCCACCTGAACATTCAAGTTATTACAATTTTGTAAAAGAAATCGTATAGCAATAAACCTGGGCTCGTTTAAAAGCTTGAAGAATCTACTTCCGAAACTTTGCCATCTGTTACATAGTGTGATAACAATTTAGAATAAAATGTATGATGCATTTTGACAGTAGAGGCTCAAGCTTTGAAATGTGCCCAAGTTTATCACTATATGATATCTTTTTGCAAAATTATAACAGTTAAAATATTTAGTGTTCAAATATTAATAAAAATCACTGTATTTAATTACAAATTTGTTTAATTTATTTCTAGTTCTCATAAACTTAAATTGTTCTTCACAGGTTCGTCAACAAATCAAAGAAGAAAAAAGAAGACAAATTCCTCTGAAGACACCGCGCAAGAAGAAGAAGGTAAAATATGAAATTAAGAGAATTTTTAAAAATTCAAGAATTAAAGAATTCTTAATTTTTCAAATTATACTTTTATATCATCCAGGTGTAGATTATCCATTGGATGTATGGTTTATTATATCCGAATATATTAGACCAGAGGCTGTGGGAAAATTTGCTCAAATATGTCGAAGTTCTTATCATGTGGTAACAACGGGGAAATTTTGGTTTCATCTGTACAAGACGTGAGTTTTCTTTTGTGCAAGAATATGATAATTCAATTATTAATTTGTGGAAATATTAAATGAAGTTTAATTGTAGTTACTACAGGTATGTTCCTGGTTTGCCGGAACGTCTACAACCACAATGCATGGTTCGTCTGTATGGACTTCGTGCTTGCGTTATCAGAACATTACATTACACTTATTTTTCCTTAAACAAAAAGGACGATGATGTGTCTTACTTAAGACAAGACCAGCCACATTCACTTGTAAAGAGGCAATGCTGTCTTATGTGGCACAAAGTAAACAACATAGAATTGTACACAGTATTATTTATTATCAAGTCGTTTGATAGTAATTAATTATCTCGTTTAGGAGGGAAAATTGCGGTGGTATTTCTATTTCAAATTAAAAGAGTTGCCAAAAGCCAATAACAAGTCATTGAAATTGAGAACGAAAATTAACGGCAAGAAGACAGATTTTCTTGAAATGTTGGAAGATGTAGCTGTGAATTCAGAAGAGGGTTGCAAAATACTTAGGGTATTCATTTTATTATGAAACAATTATTTGTAATGAATAATTGCATCGTTACTGTAAATACGTATTTATATAATATTGTGTATTTCGTAGGTGACTTGTTTAAAATACAGTATGTTGCCGCCTGTAATTGGCTTGATCTTGCAATCAGTGTCAATGACATTGATGCCCGGTTTTAAAGATCATCGATTGCAACTCGGATTTGGAACATCAGACGTTCCTAATACACTAACAAACCAAGTCATTTTGAATGATGTTGTTAGCTATCAAATTTTAGACTGGTGGCATCCGACTTATCCCCACCAGGATTCAATAACGACTATTCAATTGCCACAAAGTGATTCTTGGGATCAGAGCTTATTATGAGAGAGTTCCATATTTTATAATCGAGATCATAAGTATGATTTCTGTATATGATTATGTAAATAATACATTAAATCTGTTAAGCTTGATGGTTTGGATGCCTTTTCTTCAAAATTTTTTCACGAGTTAGAAAAGTGTGTTAGATGATACACAGGTAAAAATATATAAATACTGTTTTATTATAATCAATAAATATTAAATAAATTTATTTAAAAACGAAAGAAATAGAGAAAGAAGCAGTATTATCTTTTGACTGCTGTTTCAACAGCGTGCAATAACTCTTTCATGTGGAGCACGTTTGAAGTCGAAATCTGCATCTCTGTAATCTGAAATACAGTTTACATGTGCAATGTAACGATATTCATGGCGTGAATTATTTAATAATAGATTTTACCATATTAGCGTAGCTTTGTACATCAACTTGTAACTGAATTCGTATTTTTTCATCGTCGCTGATTCCTTGAATTTCGGAAGCAAGAGATCCTGTAGATTTATCGCGTATCTTTTTCAATCTTCTTAAACTCTCCTCAGTTTTTTGCACTGAAGTTAATACATCTGTTACGGAGGCTAGATAACTGTAACAATTGATATAATAAGATATATAATATATCTGATATAATATTATTATGGTATTTAATAATTATTTCTTTTTCCTTACTGTTCAGTTAACATGGAAAGAGTCAATTCTAGCCAATAATTTACATTATCTGGTATTATTATTTTGTATTCTGTGTGAAAACTGACAAGGAATGCAAGAGAATTTTTCACGTAAGCGCATGGTTTTGTCGGTACTTCTCTTTTTGTTCGTCTAAATAATCTGGGTATATCACTGACTTGTTTCAAGTGTGTTACGCATTGTTTCAGTAATTCGTCAACTATCTCGTTCGTAATTTGCGGCGAAATTGTTTTTAAATTCTTTACCGTTTCATCGAGGGAATCTATGAAAAAACACAGATAATGATAAAGAAAATTTTAACAATAATAATATTAATATTTCTTGTTACAACCTTTTAACAGTGTCAATACCCTTGGTGTTTTTTGTTCTTGTTTAAGTTTCGATCCAACTATCTCCAAAAGAGACGGAAGTACGTTTGCAAATTTTTCCGCATCTTTGTACAAATAAATTAGAAAGTTAAGCTTCTCGGAATTATCTACTTTGTTTAAATTGCTTGTTTCATTTTCTATTGGCCATACCTGTACATACATACAAAGAAGATTAGAATGTTTAATCTTTGTGTGTTACATTATTTTGAAAAGCTAGATATACTTCTTTGAGCACTGATTGAATCCATATTCGATATCTGGCGCATATCTGAAGACTCAATTTCCAAAATCTGTGAAAAAGCTGATACAGATATACATTATCATCCCAAATTCTTTGTACATTTTCCCATATAATACAAGTTGCATGAAGGAAGAACTCGCTTTGCGTCGGGGATTCCAACGTTCCTTTTACAGATGCTGGTGATATTGGTTCAATTAAAACCGTCTCAATTCCACTAGCTATTTCTTGAAATCTAATTTGGAAATATACCGGCAAATTCCACTTTTTCGAAAAGTTTTTGTACTGCGAATTCTTTTGTAATGTAATTAAAGATTCAGCTGTAACACACTCAGCTTCTAACTTTTGCAAGAACTCCAAGGTTGCGACATATCTCTGAAATTGTGAAACATCTTGTAAGATATTATTACAATGTAATTTTTTATTTACTCACCGAATGGAATAATACTGGATCTCCAGGAGCGAAGATGCATTTGATATATTGCTCAATTTTTTCTTGCACGTCGATCCAAAAACTGTTTACCAAGAAATTAAAACCCTTCACCGAAAGTCTGCAAAATAAAGTGTAAAAATATCTGTGCAATGACACGTAATCTAGTTTCTAAAACGCGTACCTATTTGGGTGTAATGTAATATCCAACAATTGTTTAAGTTCTACATCTAAAATGTTCAACAATCTGTTGTATATATTTTGTAGACCTAGTAAATCAGTTTTCAAGTTTTCTATATTGATTACGCTGTGAACCAATGGACTGACAATCTCTTTTCTCACTAGGTCTTCTGCGTCGGATATTTTATCAAGTGCGACATAAATTCCCAGACAACGGATTAACAAAGCAGAATTTTTCTCGTGTAAACACGCCAAGAAAAACTCGTTGAGATGCGTCATGTAAGACTGTTCAAGTTTTTTTTCTTCCTATATTGCAATACAAGATTTCCTTCGTTAACAAGAATAATAAATTTATTTTCTTAATAACTTGAGGGAAAACGTACTTCTCGCTTTTCATTGATAATGTTCAGTTTGCACCTGGACATGTGAAACTGTAACTGATTAAATTCCGCAGCTGCTTGTTCCAAGATATTTATCTTAACAGGACTTTCAAGAAATGTATTTAAGGACAGTATAGACGAAAGCTTAGCCAAGGATCTATAAATATGCTGTAAACTAAATATACTTTGCTTGTATTCTCGCACTTTCTTATTTTCATTCATGTTGTGGGTAATCGTCGTGACTTCATCATCCAGAGTCTGTTGTACTTGCTATCACAAAATATATGTTACTAACAACATTTGACATTTAATATTTTAATCAAGCATACTTTGAATAAATTTACCATTACTTCTTCTCTCAACTGTCCTAAAGGTGTTTGTAGATCATTTATAGCTTTGTCCAAACCGATCATGTTGCTTGACAGGTTTACAAAGTCTGTATAATCTCTGTTAATTAAGTCGATCATGGCAGATCTTAACAGTTTCAAGTATATTCCAAGATCATCTCGCATTGTCTCCAATTTCGTGCTCTTTCTGTGTTCTTGAAGAAACGTGTCAACATTGAAGTTTCCCTGGAAGACGCAAGTTATTGGTTTGAAATGATTTCACAGCAAATTGCAGCATAGAATTAATGCACTTACTTGAATAAAATCAACTTCAGAGAAACACAGATCTTTCGGGGCTTTTGGTAAATTCATGTTTTCCTTCGACATAATGGTATATCTTTTTCACCTTCATTCACTTTTTTCTATTAAAAGAAACATATGTTTTTAATTGCCAAATCATAATGATATATTTTTCAATTGCTAAATCACAATATTTAATAAAAAAATTGTAAATTGATGCATTCGTAATTTTTTATTCAGACATTAATGTAAGCTGCTTTTATCTCAATTCTATTTTGGGCAACAATCGTTACCCAAAGAAACGGAAGAGGAAGAAAATAACAAATTTAACTACTACACAATATTAGTTCGGTTTTAAGAGTTTGATATTGATAGCAACTAATCTTTTTTTGGTTAGTTTGACAAAGAAGGTATATGAAAGAAGTATAGGAAATTGTAAGAAACTATAAGAAGAAAGGAAATTATGATGTGAGATGATTAAGAGATGACAAATTCAATTAGAGTTTTTCTTTTTAGATTTACTTACTTTGATGATTATTGATACTTTATGCACTTGCAATTTGAAAAGAATTTTACGATTAAACAAATAGATCTATATGTGGAATTTTATGATTAAACAAATGGATCTACACGTGGAAATGTGTAAAATATTAAAAATTCCTATTTGCAAATATATTTTGTAAACAGGAATTGGGAAATGATAGGAGCTCAAGTATGTTTAGAAACATATAGAATTGTTTGTAACTTTCATAGAATTTAATTCATACCAGTTGCTATGGGGAGAGTTTTAAAATTAAAAAAATATATGGGGTAAAAAGATATATTAAACAAATATATTTGATACGTGGAAATGTATAGAACATGAAAAATAAACTATTTTGCAAGCAGGAATTGCGAAAAAATCAGAGTTTAGATATGTTCGAAAAGACAAAATCATAATACAATAGCTTTTAAGTTTCATAGAATTTGACTAATATCAGCTGATACACATGCATATATACATTCATAACAAAGAGTGTAAAAGCATGACGATAAAACTTCTACGTACGAATCAATCCAAAAAACGAGCAGGGACGATTAAGTTAGAATTTCGAGATCGTTTCTACAGTAAAGAGAATCTCGCCGAGTTTACTTTCTCAATGACACTGAAACGCAATTAGGTCTCCGACCTAACTTGACGAGTGCATATGGCGCGTACGTGTGGATCGTGCACGCACGCACGCGTACAATGCAACACAGAGAAACGTACAGTGACGGCGAGCGCGGTTCATGCTCGTGGCTGGCAAGTAAATAATTCCACGCTTGCATTGATGAGAGAATTCACCGCTGCGAAACAAAATCCAGCGGAACGGGAGTCATAGTGTTTTGTTCGCGGGGGACTACGAGTGAGAAAGGGCGCTAGGGTATTTTCTCGAGGGCGGAACAACCGTGAAGCCATCACCGAGGAGCTTGACAAGTCTCGCTACTCTTAGTGAAATTTATTTTCAAAATGGCAGCTACGAGAAGATTGCAAAAGGTAAATCGAGGTTTCTCTGTCAGCGGGAAAGACGATACGAGGAACTTTGTGAGAAACTTTGCGAACGTGCGATTCTGAGAATTTCAACGGAATCTTGCAGCACGGTCGTTTAACGAGGACTGATCCTCGTAGCGTCTTCCGTAACGTTAGATCCAGGTTTTTCCCCACGACGATGTAGAACACGTCGGGTATTCTCAGGTGTTACGCATTAACGTTCATCCTCGAGGGAAGTGCCTCGAATGCTCTCCCCCAGTGACTCAAGTCACAGTTCTCGTCATTTGTTCGAAGAACGTTCCTTTTAATTCTGGTTAATCAGAGCTTGCACTGAGCAGACTCGTCTCCGCTCGGATGATAACCGTGCTACTCTCTTTTTTTTGTTTTTTTTTTTTTTTTTTTTTTTGCAGGAACTTGGCGACCTGAGAGCCTCAGCAATGAAAAACTTCACAAACATTCAAGTGGACGAGTCGAATATCCTCACCTGGCAAGGCCTCATACTGCCGGTACAGTTTCATCTGCCATTCTGTTTCGCAAATGCGATCTAATCTAATCTGGCCTAACCTAACCTAATCCTGTTTTGCAAAGGCAACTGCAGTTAGATGCACTCATATGTGCTGTACTGCAATTTACTTTTGGAAAGCAAAGTTTGGAATGATTGTATATGATTGTATGACTTTTGCATGACACAGTGACACAAGTTTTAACTTACGCGTCTTTTCCTTTCTTGGTGTTTCTCCTAAAGAAGTGCTCGTTGCTCATACTCTCTGAAATGCTTTTTAGGACAATCCACCGTACAACAAAGGAGCGTTTCGCATTGAAATAAACTTCCCCGCGGAATATCCCTTCAAACCTCCAAAGATAAACTTTAAGACAAAGATATATCATCCGAACGTGGATGAGAAAGGACAAGTGTGCTTACCAATAATAAGTGCTGAGAACTGGAAACCGGCTACAAAGACGGATCAAGGTAAAGTCCTCTTTGCGTTGTTCTTGTTGCCACATAAGTTGTACAACCGATTTATTTACAGTTGTACAAGCTTTGATAGCGTTAGTAAATGATCCTGAACCGGAACATCCGTTGAGGGCAGATCTTGCCGAGGAGTTTTTAAAGGATAGAAAAAAGTTTTTAAAAAATGCGGAAGAATTCACGAAGAAGCACGCAGAGAAGAGGCGGGAATCATCGTCTTCTAACGAATAACCACGAGTGACCGACTTTTACTCACCATGATGCCTGCCACTCGTCAGCTAATTTAATTCAAACCAAGATAGACTTCTCTGTTACATGAAAAAGCAAGTTGAATGAGATACATGTGTACAGTATTGGTTAACTATCGACAATGATGATATTAATACGTGCAAATTGTAATGTTTATAAAGTGGATTAACAAATTTTTTCAGAGCAAAGTAAAAAAAATATAATAAACTAGCTGTATGATATTGTATACAATTTGTATTTTGAAGTATGGACACGCGATTCGTGTGGTTTCCGAGAGGCGTGAGAAAGTATCACCTGCTCTTTGTGTTAAGAAAAAAAAAAAAAAGCAAGGCAACTATAATGCATCGTGACAAATATACACAATTGTAGAACAATGCATTTACTTTCAACGTTAAATGATACATTATGGACATGTTAATGCCGTTACGGATGAATCTTGATTCGTATTAACTAAATCCAGAAGCATCAATGTAAGTGTATATAAGATTTATACAGTTGTTAAATTGATCATACTGAGAATCCCATTTCAGTATGTGAATTTTCGATTGAGAGTATTTTCTTAATGTTACCTTGAGAGTATAATTCCATCTTCTAATATAGAAAGTTAATTTATAATTTAATTAAAATTGAATTACTTTCCCTGTATGTCTATCTTTGAAAGTAATGTTGCTCCATTAAACAGTAAGAAATTAAATTAATATCCTTATTACTTCGTTGTTTTATGTGACGCATTATGCTGTAGAATAATTCAAACTGTAAATTCTGAAATACTAATATTAGCATTTAAAATAAACTTCAACTATACCTTACCTCATTGATTATGTGCGTATATATAAATAGTAAAGAGATACTATTGTATTTAACACATTCGCGACGTAATCCGCTATATGCCATTAGTGTGTGCGGCATTGATGAATTTCATCATTACGAGTGTGTTAATTTTGACGAGAAATGTTAGAAAATGGAACAGAGAGGAATCGGATAGAATTGATATGATGTTCTTGTATTTAAAATGCGTTGAAACCGAAGGATTGCTTTTACAGGGTTTTATTTTTTATTCAGTTTGCGTAAGAAAAGGTAAAACCTTTTGTTTAAATATTAAAACTATATTAATAAATAAAGATATAAATGAAAATAAAAATATGATGCATTTCATATGTTTTTCATTTACTGACACACGAGCTCATAGTAATACGGTTTTTTAATCATAATTTTCTTTTTCTCGTTTATTTTATTAGATTCTTCGTCTTTCGTATAAGCTCATGCGCGCACTCTTTTTTTCTTTTTTTTCTTTTTTTTTTTTTTTTTTTTTTTTTTAATTCCTCCAGTAAACTCCGCATCTGTTACAAATTCGTAGATTCCACTTTTGGCATACTATAATAAATATTCTGCGATGTAACGAATTGGATTTATTTGATTGATAGTGCAATAATTGATGAGCTAGGTGGAAGAGGTGGATCTTGCAGAGACCTAACGAATCTTTTTCTTTTCTTTCACGATTAAGTCTAAGTTTTAACTGAATTAATAAAAAAGATTTGTTGGGGAAGAAAGGAAAGAATGCGATAAAATTTTAGAGGGACATGGAATATGATTAAAATAAAGTAATCAGACGTTGAAAATGAGGCAAATATATTCTTAGATATACATTCACACTCTTTATGTACACATATAATAGATAATCACGAATGTAAATAAAATCACTCTTTAACGCTAACATTAATAAAATTTATGCTACATCCACAAATATTTTTTGATCATAGAATATAATTATAGATTTACAAATGTAAAAAATGGCCAAAAACGACACACGCATTGGGTGAATTAATTTTAACGACTGTAACTTACTGTCCATTTATTACTAATATAATGTATAGTCAACTAAATCCTTCTATTACAGAAAGTGTTTTCATATACTTAACTAAATCAATCACATCCAACTGAAACACGATGAAATGAATTCAGGGGGGAAGGATATCAAGAATTTTTACAGAAATCATTCATAAAACATGATCTTATACTTGGAAGTATATGCTCTGACTCATTTGATTATTTCAGGGTCAACCTTTTCCACCAAACTAGCCAATTATCAAATGCATGTAACTATTTCTCTTTAAATTACGAGGCAATCAACATCAATTAATTTCAATTTATCTTACAAAATTATTGATCTTTTTTTTTTTCTAAATGAAATTCTATTTTAGATTTTAGGTTTTGAACCAACGGAATTAAAATTAACACGCGGCACTACGTATAACAGCTGTATGTAAAAATGAAGAAACAATATCAAAATTTATCAAAGCCTAAAACATAAAATAGAAGTTGATTCGTACGGGCAATAAATCATAAATTAATGGAATGTTGACTCAGTAATCCGGGTTGTATACGGTCGTGATGTGGAATGCCTCATTCGTGATCATCTTAATTATGTTCGTAAAAGAACACTGGAAATGATAACAATTTTTATCAATGAATCAATGAGAAAACTGAGCAAATCGACAAAACATTACGAGACAATGAGAAAATATTTGAAGGAATAGATACTGTTACAGACTACTTACATGTTTGTACAGATCCAACATTTAAATTCGGGCATTAAGCAACGTACGTATACACCTTTCTGCAATTGAATCGATCAAAACGTTACAAGTAATAGTATAATAAAATAAAATGCAATACTAGTTGATCGTTATACAAACCTATCTTCTGGCGTGCGTGCCAAATATTCACGTTCGATCAAACCTTCAATACGTTTTTTAATTATTACGGGCGATGGCAAAAACCGGCCTTTTAATTGTTCTGTTACTTCTGTTACAAGTATATTGTGCTAGAAAGAAAAAAGAAAGATAAAATGTGGCGAGAAGAAAAAAGATTAAAACGTTTGAGCATTATCATAAATTACAAGCGATACATACTGGCATACGCTTCCTGTCTTTCATAATACGAACGATAGCTGCTTCTATCTCGTGCTTTCTGTCTTCATCTACTTTGTTACGAGTTTCTCTTCTTTCAGGTTCCGATTCACCTTTCGCAGCTACCGTTTGAATTTTTACTCTAAAATATCGTTTAAAAAGTTATCAATCATCAACAATAATATATTTTATACAGGATGGTCCATTTAAGTGAAGTCGTGTAAATATCTTTTCAAATTATGACGATGCAAAAAATATTCTTCGTCCGACACGAATGGTATTAAAAGACCAATAATTGGTAAGAATATTTTTTTTCCAAGATCATTTTCTTTCGGAATTTTAAGAAAAAAATATTCTTATCACAGTTATTGGCCTCTCGATCCCATTCATGTTAGGTGAAAAATATTTTTTCCATCGTCACAATTTGAAAAAATACTTAGGTGGCCTCACTTAAATGGACTACCCTGTATATGTCACTTTGATATAAGGATACCTGTGCAATTTACTAGTAAAACTATCATTGACACAGAAATAATGTGAGGGTTCTATCTCTTTTGTACGAGGATGTTTCAACAACACTCTTTGCGTAGCTTTGCCCATTGCGAGAGATTGTAATGCTCTAACCAAGTCTCTCTCTGGAATATCGGTTTCACCTTGAATTTCCTACGCAATGTTTCATATATTGTACAGATAATCGTGAGACATTAAGACTAAGAATGTAGAAAAAAAAAACTACTATTCACACTGACCTCGTACGTCAATTTCTCTCTTTTGTTGAAAAGCATTAAAACACACATTTGATAAGTTGACACTTGGATTATATGTTTCCTCGTGTTTCCGCAACTGTTACTACGTTGGTTTAGAATGCTACCATTAGTGGATACTCCACTACCATATAGACTACCACTTCCATTACCGATGGAACTCGAAGACGACGGTGTATCTAAACCACCACAACTATTTTCTTCTCTTCGCGGCCCATGAAATACAGCGTTCAAATCCGCGGAACCTAAAAGAATCACGTTAATTTAACTCAATGACTGAAGGAAGACATGTCAAGAAAAAAATAATGATACCGATCGACTGACCTAATTGTGGCTGTAACGTCAATTGTCGACCACTGTGTTTAGCAAGATAAAAACGTCGGAAGGCATCGAAAGCATCTCGTGGGGCAGCCGGCATGCTACATTTTGGAGTGGCGGATTGCGTCGGCCAAAAGCCGGTTGTTAAAACTCTCACGCTTATATCCACTCCGTGCAAATTTGTCTACAATGCGAAAAAAAAAAATTAATCTAAAAATCAATCGTTGCAAACGATTGGTTTACATCAAGCATGACTTACGTTAGATGTAAGAACGTGATCTTTGAATTCATCCATAATGGTATTACTGACTGTTATGTCTTTGAACATCCCTTCCAATTTTGATGTGAATTGACACCCACATTCAGTCTAAAATATCAATATTATCACGATAAAAATATGTCGACGTTACGTTGACGAATACCGATATTGCATCATAAACGAACAGAGAATAAGATGTTACCTTAAGTTTGGATATCATATTTTTTTCGCTATCGTCGGATACGGATTTATTCAAGAGGAGACGTTTAGCTAAATGCTGTTTGTAATATCGTTCAAACACATCTTTCTCTTGAAGAAATCTAAATAAAACCATAGTTTTATCTAAGATACCTTCAATTTCCTGTTCTGTCATCTAAAATATAATGTAAGGAAAATTGATTAATATTATTTATATTTGCATTATTAACTAGATAAATTATGATTACACTAATGATTAGACATATAAATGACGAAAAAATGAAATATTTCAATTTGTATGAAACGACCCTTTGTAAAATGATGAAAAAATGATTTATTAAAATTTCACGGTATTACCTACCATGAGCGCTTATTTATAGAAATACAGTTAACAGAACTAACCCCTTTAACACCTTTTTTCAGCTTGTCGTCAATGAAGAGCGAAAGATATTCTGGACTTTTTGTATTTAAATTAAGAAAATATTCAAAGTCAGATGCAATCATTTGTTTATAGTTTTTGTCATTGTTGAACGAATAATGAAGAAAATGATCGAAACGATCTTTCAAATCCAACAAGTTCTGAATGAAGAGAACAGCATTCGTTGTCGATTCATGTTCTTCTTGAACCATGGCACGTCCTTGTTCTTTAAGAAACTGAGAGACACAATCGCACACTGTGCGCAAGCCATCAGAAACTCTTGAAAATAATTTGTACATGCAACCGAGATCTTCGGTTTTCTGATTTTTGAGCATGTGTACTACACCACTATTTTCCATCTTTAATAAAAAAAAATAATAAATTATTCCAATTAAATTATGCCGCTTTATACAATAATACGATACATATATGATAGAACGATATTCATACTTCAACGATAGTTTTCATATGAATTTTAATTAGCTCTTCTTCTACGACTTCTACTATTCGCGGTTCAGTTGATTCATCTAAATAATGCTTTGCTCTTTCTGATTCTTCACAAATTCTAGCTTCGACTTTTTTTATATATACTGACGCGCTATTTTCTGCCAAAAATTTTTGAGATTCCATCTATATAAGAAAGAAATATTACACAATGTTAAATTAAATGACGTAAGGCAATGTAGACAAATTGTCTTACTCTATAAAATTCAGCACTTTGTTGTAAAAAAGGCCTTTCAAAGTCTTCTTCGTAAACTTGACGACTGTTAATGCCAAGTAACATTAACATTTGGCAGGCATTTTTTATCGCAATACGATCTACAACTTCCCCTCTTCTTTCTCTCGCTACCATACCTAATAAAGTTTCTCGTAAATGATCTCTAACACATCCATATCTGACCACCTAGAAACAATATCATTTATTATAATTAAATCTTTAATTTACTTCAGAAACTATTGAACCAAGTAGCAAACAGTTACCTGATCTCTAAATATAATAAGTCCCAAATTATACACATTGTCCACATCATGCTGTTGCACGTACACTCTATCCATATACATTAAAATATCTCTGATCATCACCATAGACGTTTGATGATCATTCCAAGCTTGATTTAACGTTTGAAGAAAATTGTTGTGGAGAGATCTCAATACATCTTCTCTGACTTTGTTTTCTAAATGATGCGTTACAACCTCCTTTAAACCTGTGTATAAACGTTCTCCATACTTGTGAAGGACCATAGTATATGCATTTCGATAAAGTTCTTCAAAACTGAGCCCTGAATTATTTTTCTTCTGAATTTCCTGAATAGCATTTTTCAGTAGTGCCCAAATACTTTCTACATACTTTTCATCCATAGTTGTCTAAAAATAAAGTAAGAAAATGCAATATTAATTTGATTATATCAGGTTAAAGTAAAGGTTGATTGATAAAATGTGATTGAAAATTAAAGACCAGAAAATTATTAGACAAACAAAAAAGGTATGTAGATTTTATTTAGAAAAGTCAACAGGGTATATCAAATTATGTAATATGATTTCCAATATAAATAGTAGTGACTAAAAATACATATATATATATATATATATATATATATATATA